TTTTTTTTTTTTTTTTTTTTTTTGGTACTGGGGATTGAACTCAGGTCCTTGCATTTATGAGGCAGGTGGCAGAACCACTGACCTAAATCCCCAGCCTCTAAATTATGTATTTTTGAGAAAATCAGTAAGTTTACTGTAAAATCTAAATGAAAGGGGCCAGGGACTTAGTTCAGTGGTTCCACTGCCTGCTTCACAAGCGCAAGGTCCCAAGTTTGATCCCCAGTACCAAAAAAAAAAACCAAAAAAACCCCCAAAAAACTAAATGAAAGAATGGAGGTCCATGAATATTAGCCAAATTAGCCTTTGGAGAAAAGGATGGAATTACCCTGTCAGATATTTAAAAACACCACAAAACCATATGAAAATCAGGGTTGTACTGATATAAGAACTTCTCTAGCAGTTTTGTTTTTTTGGTACTGGGGATCAAACTCGGGACCTTGTGCTTGCAAGGCAGGCAGTGGATATAAGAACTTTTAAGTAGTCTAGAAAAGTGCTCAAGAAGATACATATATACATAACTGAGAAAAAGATTATTTATGTATGCCTTTGATGTAACTGGCTTACTTTAAAGAAAAATAAGAATAATTTCCTACCTAATGCCATTTTCCAAAAGGATTAAATCAAATATGAGCTAGGCATGGTGGTGCGTGCCTATAATCCTAGCTATTCAGGAGGTTGAGGCAGGAATATTGCAAGTTTGAGTTCAATCTGGGAAATTTAGCAAGACTCTATCATCTCAAACACCTGGGAAGATAGTTCAGTGGTAGAGAACTTACCTAGCATGGGCAAGGCCCTGGATTCAATCCAAATACCACACCACTATAGAATTTATCATATATATATATATATATATATATCATATGTACATATCATATAATATATATATATATGTATGATAAATACACAGAGTTAGTAAAAGTATAGGGGTGACCTAGAAATGGGCAATAATGGCTGTAAACTTCTAAGCACAAATCATAAGGCAAAACAAAGTTAACTTGATTAAAATAAATATAAGAATTCTACTCAAAGAAGGACATCATGGATAAAATGGACAAATAACGGATCAGGAAAAGATACTTGCATTATTTAAAACCAACAAAGGATTAATACCTAGAGATACTATTTACTCTTAGAAATCAGTAAGGAAAAAAGAAACCTCAATAGAGACTTGGACAAAGGACATAAATAACCAATTTTAAAATAAATATATATGCCTATGAGAGCCAAGTCAGCATATTAGTAGTCCGAAACATAAGACAAACCATTATGTTATAAGTATTAGACTGGCAACATTTAGAAAGTAGAATAATGGTGAGTGTCAGAAGGTGACTGTGACTTCAGAGACCCTCATGCATTCTGGATGGGAGTACAAAAGGCCATTTAAATCAAATGTAATACATGCACATGTTAGGATCTAGCAATTCTGGTACTGAATGTGTATGTAAAAGAAATTCTCACACAGGTCCTTGAAAAGGATGTGGATAATGATGTCCACTAGTGGAGGAGTAGACGACAAAACAGAGGGAAGCATGCCTGGCAGGACTGTGCAATTATAACCAAGGGATTAGGTGTACACTCTCCCAATGGAAGGGTTTAAAAAAAATCGTAGTGCTGAACAGTGTCTAATATGTGTCTATCTTAGAACAAACAAAACTCCTGTGGCCGCCTGTATGCAGTTATACATGATTGGATGAGAGAGGAGATTGGATTAATTAATTCAAACAGACAGTTGGGGGAGCAAGGCAGGAAGACAAGAATAAACAATATACAGTTATTTCTGGATGGTGGCATTATCAGTGATTGTAATGTTATTTTTCATAGGTCCTCAATAAACCTATATTACTGTAGCCAGAAAAATATTAAAACTCATATAAAATAATTAAAATTTTCTGAAAGTTCTACCTTACTTTTCTTCTGATGATTAGCTATTTGATTCTACTTATAGATCTACTATTAGTAATTATTTTGCTAGAAAATACTATTTCATAAAAACTTTTGAATGGGTAAAGTTGTATACATTATTTCAATAATAATCATCATCATAATTCATCTATAGCTCTAGCTCTCTCTCTGTCTCTCTCCCTCTGCCCAGTCACCCTACTGGAGTTTGAACAGCTGAACCCACGGCCTTCAACATTTTCAGCCTTGTTTTTCAAAGTCTGTTTCTGTTTGTGTGTTTGTTTGAGACAAGGTTTCACTGTGTAGCCCAGGCTGGCCTCAAACTCACCACAATCCTTCTCCTGCTCAGCCTCCCAAGTGCTGGGATCACAAGCATGTGCCACCACGCCCAGTTGACCTCTCTTTGTTAAACCTTCTCTCTTCTTAACCCATTTTTCCCCCTAAGGATATTTTGAAACAGTAACAAGCTAAGTATAGTGTTCACTGACCTTACATATAAAGTCTCCAGCTGTTCAGCTTCTGTGTACCATCATGTTGTGCGCTTACCTCAAAGCCGAAGACTCAGAATCAAGCAATTCCTGCCCAAGAAGCAAAAGCAGAATTGCCTCATTCCTCAGTGGATTCAAATGAAGACTAGTAATAAAATCAGGTACAACTCCAAGAGGAGACACTGGAGAAGGGCCAAGTTGTGACTGTAAGGAATTGAGCTGCAGTATATTATTGTCTCTCAGAGGTCACAGATGATACCTTCTTTATCAGGGTTAAGGTTACATCATCATATAAAGTTTAAAAAATACCACTGGCTGGACAGTTGAATGTGCTTATTCAAAAATGTTGCTCTTGGGCCAGGGATTAGCTCAGTGGCAGAGCACTTGCCTGGCAAGCACAAGGTCCTGAGTTCGATCCCTGGTACCAAAAAGGAAATCTTACTCTTCTTTTTCTGTGATCAGCACTAGTGTGTCAACAATAAATGTTTGAAACCATTAAAAAAAAGTCTCCAGAAAGCATCCAAAATACTTTTATAGTAAAAGTTTTATCTGTACACTGTATAAGATTCAAATATTTTTCCCATTGTCTAGAAATTCTGTCTAGGTTATTCACATCAAGTGGTTGATGTGAAAACTGAATAAATTAATACAGGATAGGACATTTAATACAGGTGGCTGATACACAGTAAATTTTGCTGCTATAATGATAAAAACTGCTAAAATGATGACGTTAGCTGTAAACTCTTTTTCTGTCAACCACAATACCCAGCACAGGCCTGGGCACACAATATTTAGGTAGATGGTCAGTGACTCATGGGAGTTTCCAACATTTGGGAGTTTTTTCCACAATTGAAATACAGTTTATATCTTTCCTAACATGTTGTAGTACTGATTTTCTTTTTAACTCAGCTATTGTTTGCTCAAGCAATTCAATTTTGCTTTAATTTTATTTCCATATTTTTTCTTAATCTTCATGCTTTCTTGTATTCTAACCAGTACAATCAAGGCGACGTATTTTCCTCAGGGTATAGTTTTTGTTTGGTTTGGTTCTAGGGATTCCACTCAGGACCTTTGTACTGAGCTACATCCCCAAGTTTTTAAAAAATTTTTTAGTCTGTGACAAGGTTACAATAAATTGCCCAAATCAGTCTCGAACTTTCAATCTTTCGGCCTCAGCCTTTTTTTTTTTTTCTTTTGCCTGTATAACTCCGCCTCATCTGCAGGGGGCGGGGACTGGCAGTCACCTCCCCCTCATCTCGACCCTTCACCTAGCCTTGTTTCCATGACACAGCATATCGCTAACAACACGTGCCATAATCCTGTGTCTCCCTCCGCTATTTTGAACCAAATCTGGACCACAGATGGGGAAAATAGTCCCTCGGCAACAGAATTCTTTTCCTGAAGGGGCGGGACTAGGGCGGGTCTTATGGGCGGAAGGAACCGGAAATCGCGTTCCTTGCGCCGGGACTGGGCCCAGAGCTCCAAGGGGGCGGGCTCAAGTGAGTGGAGGGATCCATTTTAAACAGCAGGAGCCCCTCCGCCTCCATTTAAGGATAGGAGAGTGGTGGACGACAGTTATCGTGGTTTTCGTTCTGAGGTGGCACTGTGGGAGCTAAAGCTGGCGATCTAGCGTTCCGCGTCCAAGTCCAGCCTCCAGTGGTCGAGAGTTAAGCATCCCCTGCTTTTCCTTCGCTACTCATTGCTCGTATCTACTCCAGAGCGGGTCTCTCCGAGGAGGCTGTGCCGAAGGCCGCCGGTAGGCGAGATGTTCAAAAACACGTTCCAGAGTGGCTTCCTCTCCATCCTCTACAGCATTGGCAGCAAGCCCCTGCAGATCTGGGACAAAAAGGTCAGGGGCTGGAGGCAGCGGGCGGGCGGGGTCCAGAGTCTGCGCCTTCTCCCCTAGGGACTGGGGACCTCCACTGTTGTGGAGTTGGGCCCTGGAAGGGGCGGGAAGCCGATGCTGTGCCCTGTCCCCTCCCTGGCGTGACTGAGGTCCGTGGGGGGGACCGTGTAAGCGGTGGGAGTCGGGTGCGTGTAGGGTGGGCGTGACCAGGGAGTAAAAGTCCAGAGGTGTTTGGGTGAGCGGTCCCCTGACACGAACTTGACTTGATCAGTTCTGAGCTCCGCTTTCCCCATCAATCTAGTGGGGTCGATAGTGCCCATATCAGTATGAAATGCTCAGAGTTATGTGAGGAAACTTCTGGGTGGTACAGGTGAAAGGAACTGCTGTTCACGGGTTCCACAAACGATGTCCTATTTTGTGCTAATCACTAGACGCAGAGACTTTGTTACGGAAACCCTTACGGAGGCACAGCCAGAGCGCCCAGAGCCAAGCCAGTGATGTTTGGGTTTCATTCATTTGCTTTCTCACTGATCCCAGACAAACCAGTATTGGGTGGCCTTTGGCACGCGCTTCGCATTCACTGTGACTTGTGGTCTGTACTGTGCCTTCAGAGTTGGGATTTCTCCAGGAAAACTGCAAAGCCTTGTCTGGACTAATAAACTCAGCCTCATTCTCACTCGGGCACCCAGTAGATGATATTTTTACTGACTTCAGGAGATGGAGACTATAGTGTGGAGATCTAGCTGTGCACTGGTCTTCATTCTCAATTTTTCGACATTTTATTTCGTATGAAAATGACTATACCATTTTTATAATACAAGTTATGGTAGGCATGTTAATATGGAGCCAATGATTAGTTCCGCCCTCCTTGGGAGATAATGGAGCGGAGGAGTAGGCTGAGTGGTGTTTTTATAGAGGTACTATGGAGTAGTCCAAGTAATCAGAGTCTGTTAGTAATAAGGCCGGGAATTTTGGATTTCAACTCAGAGTAACTGTATCTTCCCTTATCCACAGATGAGAGCTTTGGGCCATGTAGAGGCTGGGAGAAAACTTGGACAACTTTCTGCCTGTTTGCACTGAAACAGGAACTTCTGTCCATGGATTCCAGAGGCAATTCTGTGTTCATAGATCAGCTTTGTGAGAGTAGTGGTCATAGTCCTATTTGCCTAACATAGTTAAAAGATTTGAATATAATGAGGTTGGGCCTTTGGATATGTAACAGTCTAACACTTCTCTCTCAGATGGTCTATGGGAAAACTAGAGCTATTACATAGGAAAGCAGTCCCTTAACCTTTTCTCCTATACTAGTGAAGTTTTCAGTTCTGTGGTTTAACTATATAATAAAGCATTATAAACTCTAAAAATGTGCCTCTGCAAAGAGAACTCAGAGTATATCTCGAACCATATAAGAACTATTGGCTTCCCATGTGCAGTTATGGGCAGTCAGAAGCATGGAGAGAGTAGCTTTGGAACTTGGAAATGAAATTGTAACAGAGGTGTCACAATAAGATGTGAAATAGAGAAGAGGACTGGATCTAGAAGAGATTTTCAGAGCAGGTCACTGAAGAATAGCGGTGGAAGGGAAGCATTGTTTTATGTTAGATAAAACTTTTATCTATCAGTTTTCCATTTTAACCCTCTGGACTTTTCTGTGGTGTGTGTTTTATTTTTCATTGTAGCTTTATGACTACTCAACTTGTTTACATACAGAATATGTTTACATACAGAATATAAAAGCAAAGTAACCATGGTGCACTGTGTCCCTTAACAACCGCCGCCAGAGGTTGGATGGTACCCTAATGACATAAACATGAAAACATTGTTAAGAGTCATTGGCAGGGTTACATGAAGGAAATTAAACAGACATTTTGGCCAAGAAATCCTTTAGGAGAACACACATTTTAAGAAAAATCCTCACAATAGCAAAAATTGATTGTGTGTTTCTCTTATTTCAACTAGACTGAGAAGTATTTAGAGGGTGGTGGTTTTTTCCACCTGGGAGCAAGGAGCGGTATGGGAGGAAATGGGGCTCTATTTATTATTGTATGGGTACTTTTTCTTGGGATTATTTTGAAGTTTTCAGAAAGAGGTGGGAATCTAATCCAGTCCAGGTAAACAGTAGGAATTTATATACTTATCACAGATTTATTAAGCAACATCTAAGTGTTAGATGTTGTGTAGACTTGGGAAAATACACAGAGAAAACATTTTCTGTGTTCCCAGGGAATAAAGCAAAGTTGTAATAAAGGCACAGTTTCATGGGGAGCAGGTAGGGTACGGCTGTTTGTATTTTTCTAGACATGGCTCTGACCTTTGCCAGTAGGTACATATTGACAGTGGTGCCTAATTTTAGTTATTTTGATCCCACAGAATGTTACTGTTCTCTTTTGAGCTTATGGAAAACTTCTGTGTGGTTTTTATGAAGAATAATCTTGAAAATTTAGGTTTGGGTTGTGTTTAATATGAGAACTGAATGTTCACAATACTGGCAAACTTGCAAACTTCTTTTTTGTATGGCTGGCTCATATTTGTAATTCGTGCAAGTTCCAGCACTCTTTGAAACTCACAGCCCCTCACCCTCTCATCCCATCTCCTCCTAAACACTATTTTCATGGACAACTTCAGTTAGGTCTCATGTGTTTCTGTGGCTCTGTACATCGTGCTGACAGTTTCCTGTCTTGTGCATTGCCCACTGGACTGCAAGTTCCTTAAGGGAAGAGTAGTGTCATTCCTGAAACCCCTTTGCTAAGAGTATGATCAGACATCTTGAATTTGCATCCTGTTGTGTATTCTAGTTGTGACCTTGGACAGGTACTTAGCCAGTTTTCTCTACTTCTTGCGGATATGAAGATTAAATGAAAATGTATATAAAATGCTTAGCAACGATTATGATACGTAGTTAGTACTTAGTAAGTCAGGGCTTGGAGTATTAAATATGGCAGGGAACTAAGAGATTTGCTCAGGACTAAAATAAGGAGTTTAACTGGGCCTAGCATTCAGATCCTAGGAATAGAAAGTGTGTACAGCAAAACCAGACTTCTGAAATCAGAATAATTTCATCATTGCACTATGGCTTCCTCTGCCCAAAATTCAAAATGTGGCTCGAAGAGCACACAGCCCCTGATTTGGCTCCTGAGGAACTGTTTCTCTCAGCTCCCCTCACCAGGTGCCTCCTCTTAGAAGTAGCCTCCAGCTCAGTGAAGTCCTTTTGCTCTTTCACCTGAAGCACTTGCTAGTTCCTCCTCCTTACCAACCACTCACCTGCCTTTTCATTAGTTCTAGGTCGCGTTTCAAAGACAGTTCTTCTGAGAGGCCTTCCTTGAACTTGTCCACTAAGTTAATTTATAGACACTTGTAGGACCTCTCCTTCCTTCTTCTCAACACACTTGAAATTAGCTAAAGATTTGGCTACACTGTTTCCTGTTAGTGACCTTTTTAAACTTTAAAAACCAACAGTTTAGAAGAAATTAGAGATATCTTTAATATTCCCTTGACTTCTGGGATAAGTAAATCCTACACTTAATTAAAGAATTGTCATGTTTATTATGGTAACCATTGCTCTCTGAGCCTGGTAGCATATACCTGTCATCCCAGTTACATGGGAGGCTGTGGTAAGAAAATTGCAAGTTCAGCAACCATCTTGTCAATTTAACAAGAACATCTCAGAAGTGGGTTGTGGGGCTGGGGATATAGCTAGCACTAGAGTGTTTGTCTGTCATGTGTGAGGTCCTAGGGTCAATTTACAGTGCCAAAAAGCAAAAACGAAACACAACAGCTTGACTTATAAGGAGACTACAAGGATATTCTAGTCCCAGTCATACTTGTGTAAAATATTGTGTAATTTTCTATCTTTACTGGTAATATGTCAAATTTACACAAGATTAATTAATGAAAACTGTCCTGTCTTCCTCTCCTCTCACCCTGTCTTTATCTCAGCTGCTTCTTTTTCTCCTTTATTTCCATTCCCTGTTCTATTTTTTTTTTTCTCCCTGACACAGGGAGCCTCACTATGTTTTGTAGGCTGGTCTGGAACTCACTATGTAGCCCAGGCTGGCCGTGAACTCATGGCAGTCCTCCTTCCTCAGCCTTCCAAGTGCTAGGATTATAGGTGTGCACCACCATGCCTGGTGTCTATTCCTGATTTTTAAAATGAACAAGTATCCCTCTACAAATACAAGTTCCTATGTGCTAGCTTTTAACTATCAAACTTTGGTGGTGTGAATTAAATTGATGGAATTTCCAGCAGTATAATTGACTGAATTTGGGCATAAAGTAGTAAGACGCTTTTCACTTTCCTGGGATCAGACTTGTTATTCTGAGGAGTAGCTTTTACTATAATTGGATGAAAGCATGTGTTTTGGTTACTTTTGCCCTTTATTTAAAAAATTTTATTAGTACATGTTTGTAGTGCGTATTGCTTACATTCATTATGTACTCTTGCCTTTGAAAGCACGCAGCTGTCCTGCATTGTTGTGTTTTGCCCAGAGTTGCCTGCTTACTACCTAAGTAGCCCTGTAAAAAGTATAGCAAAAGAAGAGAAGCCTCTGACTTGCTGGAGCCTGAAGGCGCAGGCTTTGAGGTATTGGGTGGTTGAGGAGAGCTATGCCCTCTTCTCCCCACAGAGGGCTCCCTCTGCCTGCTCTCTGACTGAGCCCAGCGCCTAACCCTGGGCAGATGCTTTCATACTGAAAAGGACAGCTCTAATGGCTTAATGTAAATTGGAACATGTGTCATTAAGATGAGGATGCCAGATGGCGGAGGTTCAGCTGCCTGACAGGATGAGTGGGTGGGGCCAGAAAAATGAAAGTTGGGGGAGGGGAAGGGAATGGCTGCAGCTCCAGTGTTATTTTTGAAGCACTCCTACAAATGTGGAGCATTGGCCAGCTTCCTCCCTATCTCCATAGTATTTTTTTCCCCCAGCTTGACCATCCTCCCTGGGGCTTACACTGAGGTGGGGAAAAATAAGTGCTCTTTATTAGTTGCCCCAACAACCATGGAAAGCC